TTTCCTTTGACATGTTAAAAAAAAAAAAAAAATTTGTGAGCTAAAAGGATTATGGGAATCTTCCCTCAGTTTTATTTACATTCTGGTTTGCAAATAGTAGAGGCAATAGAAGAACCGTGGACCTTAGATGGGAATTTTTTTTTTTCCCTCCAGTGAATTCTTCTGTCACTCAAGATGGTAATATCTCTAGGCACCATCTCACACTGATGTGCTCCAGGATCTCTTTCGAATCAAACTGATGGAAAATAACCTGTCAATGTCACCCAGCAAGTAGCACAGCTAGTGTGACAGAAGGTGATCCATTCCACTTCTCTGGGTATCAGTCCAGGATCTGAATGAAGAAAGGAAAAGGCACAAAAAGATAGTAGCAGTAACAAGGACGAAGAGTTTCACAGCCTTTGGAGTTTTGCACTTTAACAAGAGAGCTAACATACTTTATTTATATGAAATATCCATTGTATCAACAAAATAGTATCTTTTGATGGAGTCTGAAGTACTCTAGCTTTATCTGGTGGTCTGTGCTTTAAGTACTCAGCAATACCTAACTTTGCTCTCTGAATTCATTAACTCGGGTAGTTCGTTTGAAGGTCAACCCTGTTCCAAAATTCTCAGGAAATCATACAGATGTTTAATGTTACATATATGTTTTCCTTTGTATGCTCACTTGATTGGCTATTTAGAAACTAACACAGGGGCGCCTGGGTGGCTCAGTTGGTTAAGCGACTGCCTTCGGCTCAGGTCATGATCCTGGAGTCCCGGGATCGAGTCCCGCATCGGGCTCCCTGCTCAGCGGGGGGTCTGCTTCCCCCTCTGACCCTCCTCCCTCTCATGCTCTCTCTATCTCATTCTCTCTCTCAAATAAATAAATAAAATCTTAAAAAAAAAATAGAAACTAACACAAAGGAAGTCACTAACTAAAAAGCTATGGTTTAGGATGGTTGAAGACAGAAAATCTTATTTATATGGCTTTTAAAATTGTCATAGGACTTCAGAGCCTCATAATATTCCTATGAGGAAGTTAGAGGGTTTAGTGTCTTCTTCCAGCATCTTCTGGCTGAGGGAGGCAAGACATACAGGTTATGTCACACACCACAGCCCCACAGTGGTGAATAGCATGGCTAGGGTGGGGAGGTGATAATGCTCGAGCACCTCCTGTGTTCTAGATCCACAGTCCTCAAAGTCACAGAGCCCGGAGGGTCTCCAAGACCTTTGCAGGGCTTCTTTCAGGTCAAAACCGTCTTCTTAATAATACTGAGAGGTTCTTTTCCTTTTTTTTATGCTCGTTTTGTGACTTCACAGAAGAGTTTTATGAAGGCTTCATCAGCGTTAAAATGTCATTCTTCTGGGGCGCCTGGGTGGCTCAGTCATTAAGCGTCTGCCTTCGGCTCAGGTCATGATCCCAGAGTCCTGGGATCGAGTCACACATTGGGCTCCCTGCTCAGCGGGAAGCCTGCTTCTCCCTCTCCCACTCCTCCTGCTTGTGTTCCCGCTCTCGCTATCTCTCTCTCTCTCTGTCAAATAAAATCTTTTTAAAAAAAAAAAGTCATTCTTCCGACGGCCAATGGAATGTATGCTCATGTATAATCTTGGGTTTTAAAAATTGCTGATGTGCTAAACACTGATGGATATAACTCACAAAGACACTCTAAACTTGAAGGGTTTAAAACGGTTTTAAGACCAAAAAAAAGTTTGAGAACTGCTGTTTTTCAGATACATTGCTAAGCCTGTCAGAAGTGTGATTTCATTTAATGCTGCAATACCTCCATGATGCAGGCCCGGTTACCATTCCTCTTGAGCACGGGAGGAGATGAAAGCCTGGAAGAGTTAATGACTTGCAAAGGGTCACATAAACAGTGGAGTTGCAAAGTCACAATTTGAACACAGGTTTTGAATCCTTAACTCTTTTGCTGACTGTGCTGTCAGGCATGCTGTCCAGTAGGCCAGGAAATGCCTGGATGTTGACAGTAACTTGCCCTCAGAACCTGCTCCCCCCCACCCCCCAGGGAATGTAGATAGGGAGATTATCCACAGGATGGTGTGAAGCAGAGACCACATTCTACTGGCTTATGGACTGAGTCCAGCACACAGGTGTCCCATGCAGGGTGAAAAGTCAAACAGTTGGGTGTCAGTTTTTTTCATCTGGGAGACTTAATTTTATCTCAAAATTGGAAGATCTAGACTGGGTTGGTATACCTATATAACCACAGTCGGCTGCAGCTTATGTCAGGTCTTTGAGATGAGACGTGTGTTCTAGTTTGCCACAGACCTCACCACCCCTATTACCTAGAGCTCACGTGCCTCCTTTCTGTTACCTGTTTTCAGTGTTTGGATTGGAAACAGCTGGAGACGTTCTGCCTCCTGCATGGTGTCTATAGCCAATCTGTACTCAACTTATTTGAAAACTAAAAAGACTCTGGCAGTAAAGGGACAAAATACATTCCACTCTGATTACCACCACCTGGATATAGTAAATAGCCCACTGGCAATGCCGAATAGAGAACAGTTGCTTCCTTCCTTACTAAAGCATCAAATTCTAATTCATTAAAGAATAAGGATCTGCCAGTGAATTAACATTTATTTTTAAGTGTGTAGCCCTTTCTTTTTTTAGTGTTAATAGTGAAATAAGCACATTACACCTATTGCCCTCATTTTATGTTTATTTTAGTAATGTCTGTTGTCCACATCATTATCGTGTCTGGACCCTTTCATAAACTTAAAATGTCTCTGTGAACCTTTGTGTGCATGTTAGATCAGTCATTTGAAACAATTTTGAGATTGCCAACCTAAAGGACTTCATTTCTCCTGGGCATTTGGACTGAATTACTGAATTTCAAATTTTTATGCATAAGTTATCTCCCCATTTCAGTAGTGAATATTGACCATTTATACTAATTTTTAGATATATGTTTGTTTGCCTTTTTCTTCTTTTGTCTCACCCCAGACTGTAAGTTTCGTAAAGCTGGCAGTCAGGTCTCTTTGTTCACAATGTCTATTGTGACGGTGTTCAGCACATAATAACCGTAAATAATGGAATAAATAAATGACTAAGATAAAGTATATCAGTCGTGCATATAACCTTTATTCTTCTCTATCCCTAAGAATTATAATAAAAGATTTTTAGTAAAAATTTTCATGTTTCCCAACTTGGTTAAATTGGGGAGACATTTGTTTCTTATTCTCCATGTAAATATACATCCGGTCCTGTGTGTGTATGTGTGTGTGTGTGTGTGTGTGTGTTTCTTGTTCTGTTTAGGATAGTTGCCCTTCTTCCTGATGCAAGGTCAGTAGGAAAGTTACATATCCATGCAGCTAAGAAAAGATGCTCACTGAGACCAAGATACAGGGTGAGGCCATTGAACTTGAAAGTGCAGCACAGAGACCCCTCCATAGACACTCTTCCTGCAGTTGGCAGTTACAGAGTTATGTGGCCATTAGAAAAGTCTTAAGTGTCATAGTAGCTTTTAGGCGCTGTCTTCTCCAAAGGGGGCATCTAACTCTTAACCTATTGCTGAAAGAGAAATACCATTGTCTATTAATACTACTGGAACTAAAGATGAATAGTGAATTGGCCTTGATCTGACAGTGAGTTTGACTTTGATAGCTCATCACTTAAAAAGGTTCTTTTATATTTATGAAAAAAAGCATGACGTCAAGTCGTGGGGGGTGGGGGCGGAATTGATAGCAATATTGAAGACCAAACTCGTAGGGCTTCCAAAAAAAAAAAAAAAGCCCCTTGTGCGAATGGTGGTTTTTTTTTTTTTTTACATGCATATCTAATTAGCTTAGGTTATTATAAGCTGGGCCGCTGTGATAAAGTTTCCGGTGGTGTCTCGGGATACCTTGTTCATAGTGCCTTCTCTGCCAGTCAGCCTTCGAGTCAGAATTACAGAAAGGAGAGGGAGTGAATAGTCTACCGTTTCTCGTTGGATTGGGGCCACCTAAAACGTTGTTATGCTGGAAATGCTAGAATATAATCACTATCAGGTGAGCTTTATTCTTATTCATATTTAGTGTCTGAAATGTAATGCAATAAATTGAGTAATGCACCTTTTCATGTTATTGTACTCTTTCCAGTAAGTGCAGGTCTACTAGTTTAATGCTGTTTACTGTTTGATAAACTCAATATGGTTTTGAACAAAGTAAATATTAGTAGGGTATTTTTTTTTTCCCCTAGTGCCTGGCTGTGCTGTCTCCATCAGTTCCTGTTCAGAGCTCATAGATTAAATTGTGTTTATCAAGGAAAAAAGTAACTTTAAATTGAGTGTCATTGATTTAAAAAAAAAAAGCATTTTTAATTCTGTATTAGTGTTTATAAGAAAGGAGGAAAAAGATCCTGGTGGCTTCGTAGTCATGCCTTGAAAAACACATACATGTAAGTGTGAGGCGTTTTGAAAGAAAACTGCTTCCTGTAAATTGCTTTTTATGTTGAGTTCAAGATCTTAATTAAAATGTTGAATAATCATGTCCAAATGAAAGTGGGAGGAATTAATCTACAACTAGTTGATTTAATCATCAGAATGTTTCTGTTTATTTTCTACAACCATTTTACACCTGGCTCTTAAGGAGGTTTGTTGTTGTTTTTAAACAGAAAGCTATTCTGTTTGCCAAGGAAAGTAAAATAAATTGTTATGCTCCTTTTTCTAGATTGTCCTCTGATCTCAGTAAACCCTTACAGTTGTGTTGGGGAAAGTTTTGCCCTCCAGATGGTTGCAAATTTTAAATTATTGGACATGAGCAAAAAGGGCACAAGGTTTCAAAGAGATGTACAGCTAATTAGCGGGGAAGTAAAACAGGGCAAAGTATTACCCCAAATCCTGAGCGTTAGACTTTAAACTTCAGTAATATCAAAATCCATTAGCACAGTGCCTGGTACATAACAGGGGCTTAATAATTTATTCTGTTGGTGCACTGGCCAGTCTCATGTTTGTGCGTGAGAAAAGAGCCGAGTGAAACTCACGAATAACGGCGCTGTCTTCTCTTCCCTCCGTGGCTATGTTCAGGTGCAGACCCACCTCGAAAACCCCACCAAGTACCACATACAGCAAGCCCAAAGGCAGCAGGTAAAGCAGTACCTTTCTACCACTTTAGCAAATAAACATGCCAACCAAGTCCTGAGCTTGCCATGTCCAAACCAGCCTGGCGATCATGTCATGCCACCTGTGCCGGGGAGCAGCGCACCCAACAGCCCCATGGCTATGCTCACACTTAACTCCAACTGTGAAAAAGAGGTAATTCATGTCTCCTCCCCTCTCCTGTCTTCTTACACTAAATGAATGTCTGTTGGGTATTATTCCCACACTTGACTGTGGACTCTAGTCTGTCTGCGGGGCCCCACGCGCCGCCAGCCTTGGTCCCAGATTCTGCGGTGTGGCCGCCGCGCTCCGGCCTCCTCACGCCGTCACCGGGGTCTGTCGGGTCATGGCTCAGGACGGGACACCTGGCCGCTCCCAAGTGGGACGGGGAGGTGAGGACACTTCCTCTCCCACCCTGTTTCCGCTCCGTTAGCCGGGCGCTCTCTTCTCTTCAGTGCCTTTCCATTTACAAAGCAGTACAAATGCAGAGAGAGGAGAAGGCAAAGGTGGAGAAGGAAAAAAGCAAAAATAGAAAAGGTGTGGGACAGGCGGTTTAGAAGTTCCGCTTGTTGTGAATGTCTGGAATATTATTTTTATTTCTCCCTGAGTTGAAGAAGAAAAAAAAAAAAGCACAGAATGTGCGTGGATGGATTTGAATAATGTAGCACTTGAGAATTTAACAGAAAAGCAAAGGTTTTAATTGCTAGATAAATTCCGTTTCGTAATAAGATTGCTGCTGCCGTGAAATCTGCTTTTGTAAAGGCTGGATTGGAGACGAGATTCAAACACACCTCAAGCTAATTGTTTCATCAAAATTTGAAGCATAAAAATACCTGAGGGGAGGGTTGTGATTTAATGCCTGTTATTTCCAAATTATGAGATGATAAGCCTCATTTTAATGGAGTTTTTACTGTACTCTGAAATGTTCATGTGATTTCAGAGGTGACTCTTCTGAAGTTGCGGAATTTTAATTTCTAGAGGGACCAGGTCTTTTCCCCTGTGCCCAAACCAACTGTCTTATTTTTCTCTGTCCGTATTTGTCATCTATCAAGCTGATTTGATGGAAGTTCTTTCTGCACTATTTTATTTCTTGGTCAGATTCCACTTTGTTTGAAAGCTTATTAGTCCATCTTGTTGCTGCACCATCAGCCTCGTGTGAACATGTCATTGAAAAGTCATTTGCAAATCCAAGTCATGGGCTGATTTTGCTTGTGTTTTTGCAGGGATTTTATAAGTTTGAAGAGCAAAACAGGGCGGAAAGCGAATGCCCAACTATGAACACGCATTCACGAGCATCGTGCATGCAGGTACTGAATGACTCGGCAGCCCAAGGATGTAACACTTTGTAATGAGAATCTATATTTGTGGCTCATCACACCTTCCTGATAACTTAAGGGTTTTTTCCCCTCATTGGTTTTTTTTTTTTTAAATAGAGAAAGCCATGAACAGGGCCATTTTCTTCATAATGTCTCATGATTAAATAACTCAGGGAAATTAAACTTAAAATGCACTTTCCCTAAGTTGCTTCAAGTCATTAAAAAGTGCTTGAAATACATAAATTTTGATACATACCATCATCAGTGTGTTACACAAATTTGTAGGGTAGCAACTTCAGTAGACTATTAGTAAAACCACAATATGCATGTGATTGTGTGTGTGAGAGAAAGAGAGAGATCTGTATATTTTATAAAATGGACTCATGAAACACGCATTTGAAACTTTATTAATTTAATAATACTTCACGGATTTTTCCCAACTGATTAGAGATTCTTCTATGACATCCTATTTAATATATAAATAATGCTACATTTATCAACATATTTACATATTTTAAAGTGTGTGTATAGATATATAAGAGAAAGAAAAATAAGCATTGAAAAATTCTTTTTTTTTTTTTGCTTTTCTATATTTCCCCTTATTAACTTGCATTAGTGGTTCTTTTTTATAAGAAAAAGAAATTATTTTAAAAAACTATCACACCAAGCCCACTAATTTTATTTCCCTAAAAAAATTTACAATGAAAGGTCGATCCTAAGTTCTCTGGCCCATTTGCCTGTTCAACTCAATTAGAAAATCATCTCTTGAAAGCAAACAAACAAAACTGGTGTATCTAGAAATGAAACTTAATAAATTACTGGCAGTTATTCAAAACTGACCTGCAATTATTCTTCTTAGGGGGTCACTTAATAACCCTCATTTTGGGGGGATGTTTACTATAGCCATGGCGCTATGAGCACTTTATATGGTTTATCCTGAAATCTCACAAGAATCCAATAAGGCAATGAGTATTATTAACCCCATTTTCCAGATTGGCCTATTGAGGCTCTTAAAGATGGAAGGCTTTGCCCCTAATACAGAACGTGGGAGAATGAGGATTCCAGGCCCTGTGGCACTGGATCCTGTCCCCTTTAATTGGAAATGATAAAAAGACGTAAAGGAGCATTCCTCTGAGCTTTGAGATTTCATTGTGTACTTGTGAAGCACTATTTAGATCCAAGCATGGATGCATGCGCGCGCGCGCGCACACACACACACACACACATACCAACCAGCTCAGATACATCAGGTGTTTACAAAGAAATGTTTTCACAACCTTGTCTTTGCAACTGCTGCAATGCACATGTAATCACTGTTGTTTATTATCATAACTGATGTTTTGGTACTTCAGGAATAAAATTGATCTAGTAGGAATGTCAGCTCCATGACTGTAATGATAACTTCGCCCTGGTGTAGTCCTCCGGGAGTACCGAGCACACTGGCAGCTGTACAAGGAGAAACTTATTTTACAAGTCACTGCAGGATCAGTGCAGGGTTAGCCGGCCGCCTGAGAGCCACAGTGCCCCCTACATCCCTAGGAGAGCAAAGGTCTGAACTACCATCTGGGTTGTCCTACTGCAAGGAAGGTCTACGAAGGCTGTGGGGTATAGTCTTGAGAAGGAAAAAAAAAAAAAAGAAATGGCAGCCATCATTTCAAGATGAGGTTTTCTGGTTCATCTTTCCTGTTTGGGAGAGGCAGTTGAGCATAGCACTTGAGAGCATGGGTTCAAGTTGTGGCTCTAACCCTCTTCCGTGTATGACTTTGGGCAAGTTGCTTCTCATTTGCCTCACCTGGCAGATTGATATACTAATAGTACCTACACTGATAGAGTTATTCTGAGGGGGGAAATAATTTAACCCATCAAAAGCCCTGAACCTGGTACCTGGCACCTACTAATCCCTCACTAAGTGCTGGTTGCAAATGTCATCCTTATCACCTGTTAGTGTCGGTGACCTTCAGTAATGTTCCTATTGGGAGGAAGAGGGCAGTAATTTCTTAGCATCTAACTGAAGAGCTTTAGTGCTTTGGGTAAGAAAAAACCACGGATCTCTCTTTGGGTGGTTTTACACAGTTTTTGCTTATGTTTGTCTCTCTTACATTGCCCTTTTTCCTACAGATGGATGATGTGATCGATGACATCATTAGCCTAGAATCAAGTTATAATGAAGAAATCCTGGGATTGATGGATCCTGCTTTGCAAATGGCAAATACGGTATTCATGACTTTTTTTTTTAAAGAAAATCTTGAGATATTTCCAGCGTTCTCTCCCTTTTCCTGAACTTTTAGTTTATTTCTGCAAGTGATTGATTGAGAAATTTATTAATAATAAAACGGAGAATTATCTCAGGATCACAAATAAGTGACTTTGACATCAGAAATTAAGAATTTCTCATGAGTTTATTGGTAACCCCATGATAAAGCTCTACATTCCCTGGAGTCCAAGTCCACTTTCAATAGGACGTTAGGCCTTCCAATTCCCCCTGACATCTAATGCCCAACTTAGTACACTGCTGCCAAGGGGAATACTATAGATTGTACTATTTACAGTAGCATTCTAGTTGGCTTGAAAAACGAATGCAGTTTTTAAAGGCAATACCTTACTATTAATAGGTAATAGAGTGACTGACATTCAATTTGCCTTTCTTCAATAGCAAAATTTATTCTGATTTTGGTTAATAAATCAGTGGTTTATTAAACTTATTTCTCTCTATAATTTGGAGCCTTGCCCCTACTGGTTTTTTTTTTTTTTTTTTTTTTTTCACTCCTTACAATGGTGTCTTACGTTTCCATTTTACCAAAGTCTTATTATAGATCTTATTTAGTCCTTGTAATAATTCTCTGAATCTAGAGATTCTGCAATAATTCTTGCAATAATTCTTTGAGTCAAGTTGGGGTGGTATCATTGCCCTCATTTTTTAGGATTAAGAAAGGTTAGCTGGTCTTACACAGGATTACATAGCTTTGATATGTCAGAGTCAGGACTTCTCGGTAGGCTTTGAATACCTTGTCCAATCTTTTTTTTTGTTTTCTATGAGAGCAATGCCATGAGGTGTCATATTCTTTAATAACCTGTATTTAAAAGATTAACTCCCACAGGGGAGCAGGGGTGAAGGGGAGTTGTTCTTTCATGGGTATAGGGTTTAATATTTGCGAGATGAAAAAATTCTGGAGATTTGTTTCACAACAGTGTGCATAAACTTAACACTACTGAACTGTACACTTCAAAATGATTAAGATGCTAAATTTTATGTCCTATGTATTTTTACCACAATAGAAAATTGTTTTAAAGAATAAATTCATATAATAAATTCCCTCGACCAGGGAATATGATAGCCCTTACTTATTTACACCAAAATTCTTAGTGAACTAAAGTTTTATAGGTAGCATTTTCTTTTTTCCATCTTGGTCCAGTTCTTTCAGTTCATTAACCTGAAGTCCTGAGGGGTGAGGACTCCCCTAACAGCCCCAAAGTCTTTTCTGGGCTCTTTAGTTTCTGTCAACTCCCTACCCATTTAAACTCACTCCCTGATTTTGAAAGAACTCGACGTTCCGCCATCTTGACAGATGTCTCCATGTCAGACTCTCCCCACCCTCTTTGAGCCCTTGGTTGGCTTTTGTAGAACCCTTCTGCTTCCAAATTTGTGCCTCCTGTGAGTCGGGCTACACTTGTCAGTGGTCAGAATCCTAGGACCAGTGTGAGCAAGACACTTGGGAGAGCTTGCACTGTGAAATTTATAAATATACCCCAAAACATGGGTATATTTACTATGTTTTCAATGCCCAACAGCAATTATTAGCAATGGCCCAGTCATCCCAAAGGAACTTTGCTTGATGAGGGTGGTCATTTTGCCAGTGGTTAATATGATTTTTTACAAATAATTTAAAAAATTTTCTCCAATGGTGAGGACTTTGGAGGTCATCTGAGCCAATCAAGTACTCAGTGCATTAGTCTCCTCTTGCATATCTTCTGTATTCCTACCCCCCATCCCATACACAGAAAAACTAGACATCCATCTTCTGGAAAGCCTCCAATGAAGGATATGCACTAACTCACAAGACAGGCTGGAAAGCACAGAGGTTAGGAGTTGGAGATGTGTGATCATATCTAGGTTCATATCCAAAGTCTGCCATTTTCCATGTGACCCTGCATGATACTTAGCTTCTTGAAGTCCTACATTTCTCCATCTCTAAAATTAGACTGATAATTGTACCTACCTCCCATGGTCATCTCATGAAATATGTATAGCATTAGCATTGGAAACATAAGCTGTACTCAACAATATCTAAATTAAGTATAATTTCTTTTAACAGCAAATAAGTTTGATAGTATTTCATTCAGGTGATATTCCTTGAGCATCTGTAATGTGTCCAACTCTACTTCAAAATAACATGACACTTAATAATCCAGATATTATTCACAGTGTGTCTCTCTGTGAATTCCAGACATGGGTCTAGTTTGCCATCATGGAGAACTTGTCCTCATGACTACCCTTCTGAAGACAGTTCTCAAGACCCCCAATTGCTTCTCTCCTTTAGATTGAACACCCATGTCTCCTCCTCAGTCATTCTACATTAGAATGGAAATCTTATTCCTTCATTATCTGATTGCTTCCAAGCTAACTTTAAGATTGAATTAGTGTTTATTAAATACCTAATATGTCACCAGCCCTGGGTGAGGTGCTGTGGATGAAGATGAGTAGGGTATGCTTCCTGTTCTCATGGGGCTTACCAGTCTGGGAAGGGGAGACCCTGTCAGACCTTGAATGGAGGAGGATAATTCCGGGGCAGAGGGGCCATCTTAGGGGAGTTCCTGGATAGGAAAGATCCCCTGGGCAGAGTTGAATTAATTGCCAGCCAGGGAGGAGTAACCCGTAGCCACTCTCAGATGTCACTGACTGTCCAGGCATTCATTACTTTTCTATATTTCTACCCTGAAAAAATCTAAGTGTAGCCCCATCAGAACCAGCCCATGACAAAACTGTTTCAGCATTTTGCTATTAGAGGAGACACAGTATAAAATAAAAGTTAGGATCACAGACTGTAAGCCAGATAGCTGAATTCAGGGCCTACTCTTGAGTGAGCTATTTGACCTCTCTGCCTCACTTTCTTTGTCTGGTAAATGGGAATAAAAATAGCATCTAAAACAATAGAATCCATATGAAAATTGTAAGAGTTATTCTCCAAAAAGCACTTAGAAGAATCTTGGTTCTGATATGCTCTTACTAGATGTTAGTTACTAGTTCTTATTCTTGGTAAATTTGGGTTTGGATTGTCAAAATAAATAAGAAAGCTACCAACAACTTACTAACATTTTAATTTTTCCCCCCTCAATAGAGTTTAAACTTAATGTTCTTCATGTTAGGCATTTTTCCCTTTTATTTGATTCTTTGATATGCTTTATTTCAAGTTAACTTCTTAAAAAAAAATGAAGTGGAGGGAGCACTTAGAGAGGAAACTATCCTAAGGGAATTGGAGTCTAGAAATAACTATTCTGAGAGCACAAGGGCCCTCTTGTACCATTACAAACAAAGAATAAAAGTCCCAATTTACTTGTGCTAACAGTGCTCAATTGATATTCAGAGAGGGGGAACATCCAGAAAGAAAAAAATAATAACATTTTACAATGATCATTTACTTGGAAAAATATTCATTTTGGTGGAGGAGAACATTGAAGAACTCAATTCAGACCAAGTTTGGGGCACAGACCCACATGTGTCTACTTTCTCTTTCTTTGTCCCTGTTAGACTGTGGCTTCCATCCATTGTACAGCTTGTATGCTGGAAGTGAAATCTTGTCCATCAGGTTTATGCTGCATAAAAACCCAGCAAAGATACAACATAGCCATGTTAGCAGAAGATGCCTCTTCCTCTTCCTTAGCTCCGAAGATATTATTTTGACCCATATAATGTTTATGGGGCAGTTTTTCTAACCCAGAAGGGGAACCACAAAATCCTTTCTTAAATATACATGGCTGATTTTTCATTAGAAAGCCATGTTTCATCAACCTTCCTTTTAGTAGCTTCAGCAAATGACAGCCATTAATACAAAAAACATAAGGCACCATTTCAGGGCAGTCTCTCACCTTCAGCATGATTAATATTTGAGGTGGCTTAATTCTTTTTTTTTTTTTTAAGATTTTATTTATTTTTCTTTCTTTCTTTTTTTTTTAGATTTTATTTATTTTTCAACACAGAGAGCGAGAGAGGGAACAGAAGCAGGGGGAGTGGGAGAGGGAGAAGCAGGCTTCCCGCCGAGCAGGGAGCCCGATGCGGGGCTCGATCCCAGGACCCTGGGATCATGACCTGAGCTGAAGGCAGACGCTTAACGACTGAGCCACCCAGGCGCCCGAGGTGGATAATTCTTTGTTGTGATGCTGTGCTGCCCATTGTAAGATGTTTAGCCGCACCCCTGGCCTCTACCCACTAGATGTCAGTGGGTAGTTACTAGTTAGTTACTAGTAGTGTTACACTACTAGTTGTGACGCCCCAAAATGGCTCTAGACATTGACAAATGCCCTCCACTGACAATGGAGAAGCCCTGATTTGAACACTGAGCAGTTACTCCAGTCCTGTGGTTCCCTGATCCCTGTGTTTGGATTTGCTTTGCAACCTGGTAAAATTGGTGCAATGGTGGACAGGATACTTAGTAATTAACAGGGCACATGGTGTAGTCCATCAAAGTGGAAATTAGCTTGACTGTTGAAAACAGACTAGGAATACCGTACTTTGTAGAAAATTGTATTACTGAACATGGCAGTAGTGATCACTTAAATACAGTGTTTCACCCAGTCGACCTCTGATTCGTACAGAACCCTGCGAGAGGGGTGATAGGATTGCCACTTTTCAAAGGGGGCATCCTGCCTCAGAGAGGTTAGTTTCACACAGCAGGTGTTAACCCAGGTCTCTGCCTCCTAAGCCAGCCTGCACTATTGATTTGCAAATTTGAGTATCCATACTTGGCTCGAGAGCAGCTAGTTTTTATTTGCTTAGAATCAGTTGGAGAGGGCACCTGGGTGGCTCAGTTGGTTAAGCGACTGCCTTCGGCTCAGGTCATGATCCTGGAGTCCCGGGATCGAGTCCCGCATCGGGCTCCCTGCTTGGCAGGGAGCCTGCTTCTCCCTCTGACCCTCCCTCCTCTCATGTGCTCTCTGTCTCTCTCATTCTCTCTGTCTCAAATAAATAAATAAAATCTAAAAAAAAAAAAAAAGAATCAGTTGGAGATTAGTTGAAAATTGCTGTTTCGAATTGGCTTATCAGCAGTTGACACTGCCCCCCAAATACTGCTCGTAACATAGTTCATGAACCTCTTACCACAAAGCTCTATTCAGGCATAGCTAGATCTTTCGTAAAATCAACTAAGACAACATACACCAAGTGCCTTTCTAATTCTGTGCCTGGCCCAGAGTAGGAGCCCACAGAAAAATGTTCCCCAGCAAAATATTCTGGCAGGTTGTATGCTGCCAACTCCTAATCGGCAAGTATTGGAAAAGCAGCCGAAGCGGGAAATCTTTTAGAGAAGTCGGGGGAGGGCTATAAGCCACTTTTTGGACTGGAAGTAATGATGTCTGACCTCACTGGAGTGTCTGATAAGGCATCTTGTTATAGAGATTTTAATTCATCTCCCTTCTTGGCAGGCACGGCTGTCAATCCATGCCAGTCACAGCAATCTTGTCTGCCCAACCAGTTCGTGTCTGGGTGTCCCCAGTCTTGTGCTCTTCCTCCCTCCCCTCTCCTGAATGTCTCTCCATCCGTCTTTCCACCTCTCTCCCCTTCTGTGTACATGTGTCTCTCTCTTTTGTTTCCACCCCTCCCCTTGTGTCTTTGTCGCTCTGTCTCATTCCCAATTTTTGTTTCTTTTGCCTCTGTCTCTCTCCCTCCCTCCCTCTGTATGATTCTGCATTTATTAAGTATATGTGCACGTAGTTTCCTTTAGAATGTGTTTAGAAAACATGGTCTTGTCCCAGAGAAGCTTATAATTAGAAACCTATCCGTTCAATGTAAATCCATTGAGGACTTAGAGGGTTTTTTGTTTTTTTTTTTAAAGCTTGCTGTATGTATCTCTTGCCTATTAGATTTTCCCTAACAAATCATCATAGTAACACAATTGCATTGTTTTGCTTACAGTTTGCATTTGAAAGATGATAGATATGATTCGTATTTCTGGAGGTATGGAAATATTTTTTTAGCTTGTTGCATTGAATTTTAAAGCACATTCCTGGTTCATTAATATTCAGTAGTTCCTCCAAAATCTGAAATTCCGGAAAGACAGGAGGATGAATCTTCGGAATCCAGAGGGGTTACGAGATGTCCTAGCAGCTCTCTGAGTTTTGATGCTCTGACTCTTTACAGTGCTGTACTGAGACGTTTGCACACCTTTCACTTTGCTGCCTTAAGTTGTACAAGAGTGGAACTGAGCGCTCACAGGGCCAGATTGACTCCAGGAAGGTGACCTACTTCAAATAAAACCACTTCTTGGCCAAATGACAGCTCAGAATCAGGGTTTTAGCTAGAGGGGCTTGAATTGTGCTTCAAGGGCATTTTAAATGATCACAGTGCATTGTTTATATGCATCTGTGAGGTGGGATAGGTGTATTACATTTTATACGCATAATATAAATCCCGCCTTCAGAAGGAAGCAAAGGACGGAGTGGACAAGAGAGAGACCTGTCCTGCTGATCCGTCTGTCCTCCCTGCTCTCAGCCCCAGTCATATTAGAGCAAGTGTCCTGTTTACCTGTCAGAAAGTATAGGCCTCTCCCACCTCTTTAGCCTGGGGTTTGGCTCATAGACTACTTCTCTAGAAGCCACAATGGGAAGGGATGGTCGAAGGCTACCAGTGAAGAGAAACACATTCGTATCTTTATTTTGTGGGGTATTTTTATCTGTGTGTTAGTGGCCATTGGAGAAAATGAACGGTGAGATGTGCAGTGTAATCTCTCCTCGATACTTCTTGGTCACTAAACAGCTTGAATGCCGTCCCAAGTTACTTTTCTCAGATGTAGAGTAAAACTTACAGTGTATGATCAAGGATGGGGCGGGCTAAATGCTCTGAGTCTTCCTTGCCAATAATAGTTACAGGAATCGTTTGAATTAAGCTGGGAAGAGGGAGCTTCTGCACTGACAGTAGTGAGGTCCCGTAACTGAGCCCCCGTAGTTAATATTCAGAACTTTATTTCAGAGGGTGGGAAGAAGAAATGTCTGGGACCTCTGATGTCCACAAACATGGGTGCATCAAACTCCTTCAGTGAATGAGGTGCGGGGAAATGTGTATACGACAAAAGGAAATCGGCACCGGGGGCAGAAAGAAGTTCACTACTTCAACATATTCAGTGCAGAACTGGAGAAAAAACACTCTTAAGCTAGCTCGAGAGGGCTAAATATTTCTTTACTTTTTTTTTTTGAGTGTAAATTTTTGCTCTTTTCTTAAAGTCAGTGGGCTCCCCCTTGTGGCTCCATTAAAGATTTCAGTTTCAAGGAAAAGAGCTTTTCTTTCGCAATAAGGAAACCATTTCTTTTCCAGTAGAAAACACTTTTAATTGCTTTTCCTTATCAAATAAAGAGAGAAGAAAAGGGAGAGGGAAAGAGAGGGAAGGAAAAAAGTGACTTTGATGGAAAACCTGATTTGGTGAAAAAGGCCACATAGAACCCCATTTTACAGTAAAAGCCAGCATTTCCTAAACATCTATGTGCTACTGGATGTGCTAGACAATGAGTTTGCCACCTTGGCCACTGTCTGCATGCTCAAAATATAACTATAAGCTGGTCGTAGAACCATCTTATGGGGGTGAGATAATGTTCTTCTTTCAAAGGAACGAGCTAACGTCACCGTTTAAGTGAGTGGAAAGGTAAACGTGTCATGCCTTCCTGTTTTCAAAAAAATGATTTTTTTTTTTTTTTTTTTACATCAAACCATTTCTTTTAAGTAAAGTCTGGAATAGATCTGGGTTCTAGCTGAATAACCTAGGAATTGTTTAGCAGTTCATTTCTGTTACTGTTTCTCTCTCTAGTTACCTGTCTCTGGAAATCTGATTGACCTTTATGGCAACCAAGGCCTGCCGCCCCCAGGCCTCACCATCAGCAACTCCTGTCCGGCCAACCTTCCCAACATAAAAAGGGAGCTCACAGGTAAATTACTGGCAAGTGTGCCTCTTCCTGGGGATTTCCTGTTAATTTTCTGGCAAGCAAAGTTATCAAAATTGTGACCTCTGGACTCTTCGTTTGTATACGTAATTTTTTTAGGTCTGTGCAGAGGTGAAACCATTGAGGAATATTTTAGGATGAGGATTTATACTTGGAAATCCTGGTTTCCAGTATTTCTTGAGGTCCTGGGAGGGAGGCTGCTGTCTCCCCAAGGTCCCATCATTATGCCATGCACCCATCGCTGGGTCTTTGGCTGCTGTACCCTTTGGGGTGGGCGCAGCGGGCAACACTTTAATAATAAAATGTCTCCACCCAGTCCGGTGTTTGTGTTACTTGCCAAGCCCCTAGGGGCATTCCACTTTGAGAACCCTGGTCTGAATTTCTCTTTGACACACGTTCAAGCCTGCATTTGTCAGGAGAGGGTAAGAATGAATTTCTTACATCTTTAGATGCCTCCTCTTATTTTTGCTACATCATGTGCAAAAGATTTATTATACAGAGTAAAAAAATAGATTATAAAATGGAGCAATGGGTATTATTTGTTCCTGAGGCAAGTGTGAAATTATCTATTTTGCCATTTTGTTTGAGGCTTTAGGGAAGGCATTTGGCCATTAAAACATAACGAAACTACATTAGAACTGGCATTCTACCATGCTGAGTTTTATGGCCCTCACCTCATCCCCCTTTTTAATGTCTGGTCCTTGCATCTTGCAGGATTAGGTGAACGGTCTGAGAATATGAACTATATATTTGGTGCAAAAAATTCCTGTTTGTTCAAGGGTGTCTTTTTAAAAAAATACTTCAGAAGATTGTGGCAGGAGAAAAGTAGTTAAAAAAAAAAATTGGGGTTAAAAGGTAATAAATTAATTACTATGTAAAACCCATTGAAAGTCAACAAAAAAGTAGGTATGCTCCCGGGAAGGAAAAGTCTCATGAAGTCTTAGAAAATAATGCTATAGGAGATCTATACTAAAAATGATAAAATATGGTTAGCGTGGCATGAACAGAATTCTTACAAATTAGATGCAAAGTAGACTTTTTTTTTAGATTTAAAAAATAATTTATTTATTTTAGAGAGAGGGAGCATGAGTGGAGAGAGGGGCAGGGGTGAAGGGAAGAGGGAAAGGGAGAGAATCTCAAGCAGAGTCCGAGCTGAGCAAGGATCCTGACACAGGGCTCAATCTCACAACCCTGAGATCATGACCTGAGTTGGAACCAAGAGTCAGAGTCGGAAGCTTAACTGACTGAGCCCCCCCAGTGCCCCCAAAATAGACTTTTGAATTATGTGTAGGATTGTTTCTTCAAAAACAAAACAACAGAGGCAGGGGGTGGGAATGAGAGGAATGGGTAAGAGGGTATAAATTTATTTTTTAAAAAAAGAAGCTGATATAATGAACTATACATTTCTAAAATCACTTTGTATCTTAGAAAATGACCAATCCAGACAGGAAAAGGGTAAAATGCCAGGGAAAGGAGAAGGTGGACAGGAATTGTGATTCTGAACACTGCTAGCTTGAGAGGCAGCCTGATGTAGCCAAAAGAGAATAGACTTAGGAGTCAGATCTGACCTAAGGGAAAAAAAATTATCTTTCCCAGCTGTGTTAGGATCTAGTCAGGAAGCAGAGACTGCAAGGTGATTTGAACAGGGTAGGTTTAAGATAAAGAATTGTTAACCATGTATAGGCACTTATCTACTAAGAGAGGATGAATACAATAGAATACCTAAGGCTGTGGAGGGGGTGGCTATCTAAGCTTGGGAAAGAACTGCCCCCCTGCCCAAGGCCAAGAGTCTACGCCCCTGGGGAGATTGTAGGTGAAGCTACAAAATGGCAGAGAAGTTCACAGGATTGCCTTTATCAAAGCTGGTCCACAGTTGGTGGGTTGAGGTTGATAGGCAGAAAACCATGGTTGTGGGGCTGGCAAACTGAAAAACGAAATAACTAACTAACTAAATAAGTAAGAGAAAACAAAACAAAAAAAAGATACTGTAGGGGAGGGTGTATAAGTAAGACATGCCTATAATGCTCGTGTGAGAAAAAAAATAGAAAATGATTGGGATTGATCTTCCCAATTGAAATAATTCAGCTTCTGAATTATTTATATGTATATATGTATATCTAAGACACATATAATAAATATATATACATATATAAGCTTCAGTGGCTATGAGTTATGCTAAAAAGAGTTCTAATTTTGGGTAAAATTCTGAATGATGGTAGTGTAATGTTGCAGATATCACTTGTGACAAGAAAGTAACAGAGGCCCCAGAATGGCAGGATTAATCAAACAACTGTCTTTTTCTTGTTTTGTTTTGCCTTCTGTAAGGTGCAAAGTCATCCCCCCACAGAGATCCCACAAGAGTTGTAATGCAAATAGATCTTTTCAAATGGAGTTGCCACCAAACACCTCCGTACCCTATTCCTATTTTTGTTTTTATGAACTCAGACTAGTTCAGAACCCTACTAGTCTGAGTTTCTCAGGGTCATCATTTCGTTCTAGCAAGTTCTGTTGGAACCTGGCTCCAAGTTCCAAAAAAAAAAAAAAAAAAAATGAATCCATTTCCACCAGAGATCTGACGTGATAGCTTCTCTCCCCAGTTTTCACATCAGCATGTTACAAAGGCATCAAAGAAATAAAGAAAAGTTCTGTTGCATGAAAAGAAAATTTGACTCCCGGGGTGTCTGGGTGGCTCAGTCGGTTAAGCGTCCAACTCCTGGTTTCTGCTCAGGTCACGATCTCAGGGTTGTGGCATGAAGCCCCACATCAGGCTGTGCAATCAGCATGGAGCCTGCTTGAGATTCTCTCTCCCTCTGCCTCTCCTGCTTATGCTCTCTCTTTCTCTCTCTCTGAAATAAATAAATAAATCTTAAAAAAAAAAAGAAAGGAAAATTCAACTCCTGATAGTAGAATATCAACAACAAATTTCTAGTTTTCTAGTTATTTTTCTTCTTGTGTGTTTGTAGTGTGTCAGACAACTTTGTTACTGGTCTTTTACCATTTTGTAGAAGCCAAGTCTTTGCATTTATTTGATATATATTGCTTTTGAAAAAATACAAGCTTTTGAAAAATCATGATTTTAAAAACCCTATTTTTTTTTTTTTTATTGTGACAGTCTGGTCAGATAAGTTTCCATATATATCTAGAAAATGAGATATTTTGTAGTTTACGTCATTGTGTGCCTTAAACAGTTCCCGTTTCTAATTACTTCATTCACGTGCACAGCGTGTATTTTTCCCACAGAATCTGAAGCGAGAGCATTGGCTAAAGAGAGGCAAAAAAAGGACAATCACAACTTGAGTAAGTTGGTTTCATGTTCATGATGTTTGATATTGGAGTGGATGTTCCCCCTTATATCCAAATTGTTTGAAATCTTGTGGGAGGAAATTGATATGCATAGCTGTTAAAAGTACATTTATGGAAGAAAAAATATTTTTCAGAGAAACTAAGGTTTTTCCCATATTTTGTCTCTGATCAAATTGAAATTTTTTCCAGTATTCTGAAGAGTACTTATTTATAGTAATAGTTCTGGGTGTGTGTGTGTGTGTGTGTGTGTGTGTGTGTGTGTGTTTGGTGAGAGGGAGACTTGATCCCCAACTACCCAATTATAAGTGTTGCTCACACTGGAACTTATTAACAAAAGGGGATTATGGGATCACCTTCTCTGGTGAGATTTGAAAGAAAAAAAAAAAAAAAGAAACAGTTGGAGGGGAGTCTGTGGGTGAGGTAGCCTCCCAAATTTCTGACTTAAACTGTGACTTAAAAAAATATCTTCCAACATTTAAAATTATTTTTTATGTCTTTAATTTACTCTTAACCAAGTCTTTAAGCTTTTTCCTATGAGAACTAAAGATTTTGTTTCATAAACAAAAGTAAAAGAGACTGCACAGTTCAAAAAAAAAAAAAGATGAGGTTTGGTGGTAGGAAGTCATTGGCATGTGTGTGAATTTTTCATCTCACGGCCCCCTGTCCTCTTCTTCCTAAATTGAGTTTTAAGAATGTAGGTTACATATAAATACTTTGTCCTCATAAAAATGGTAAAATGAGACCAGAATTTAAAATGATAGAATAAAGCTAGAGTTCTCCTCTGATCCCTGAGAGTCATCATCATTGTAGTTGATGTTGTTGTTTTCAGTTTGCCGTTGGTCTTCCCAGCCTCTGCCCAGGTATTAACATACACATGCACACAGAGAATAAACAGTGGTTTTTGTGTGTGTCTTTTGTAACACAAATATCATGTTATCCATGTTTGTTGCTGTTTATTTTCTTACTCAGCAGTCCATCCCGAAGAACTTTTGCTGTTATTAGTGTAGATCTGTCTCCTTTTTAACGACTGTTGCATACTATTCCATAGTGTCGCGTGACTGTGTGAAATTCAGTAATCCTACTACTAAGTGTTGATATTGCTTCCAGTTCTTCCCAGTCACAAACAATGCCATAGTGAACATTTGTGCACACGCCTCTTTGTGTACAGGGAAGTTTGTTTCTCCAGGTTAGGTACTGAGAAATGGAACTGCTAGGCCCCAGAGAGGGGGTGAGTGCTTTCTTTTAATAGATTCTGCCCTTCCCAGTTCCTGTTTCAGGTCTGAGAAGCTTTGCTCCTTTGTACCGAAAGATTTGCACTAATATTTCTAAGGTCTCCTCCAGCTTCCAAGTAATTGTACTCGAAGATATTTCTTCTTTTCAAAGAACTTAGAATTAAGATAATTAAGCATTATCGAAAACTTCATCTAACTGAAATGTGGAAAACTAAGTTGGATCTTGTCAAAAACAATGCCTTTACTTAGGCACCCGAACTCTCAAGTTTAGGGTTGTCGGTAAAGTATAAACATGATCAGGTCACACTCTGAGGGCTATAAAAACATATTAAAATCTCATCTAACCATTAGAAATGAACACTCAAGGTTAGATTGTCCATTGGCATAGCTTTTCCTCTCCTAGAAGCTTACCTTGTAAAAGTAGTTGCCAAAATGTGCACAATCATATATTCATTTATTTACTCATAACTATTTATTGAGCCCCCATTTTGTACGAGGCATTTTTCTACAGAAGTGAATCAGACAGAGAGGCTTCCCACTCTTATGAGCTTCCATTTGAGTCAAGGGCAGACAGAATAGATGAGCAAAAAAATACAGTAAGGTGGTGTTTTTAGTATAGAGCAAGAATTACGACAGGAATAAAATGTACCTGTGAGCATTGGCCAAAACATTTGTTATACCGTTGACAGTGATGGAGAAATTGGAAATAGTCTAAATATTCATCAGGAGAGTATTTGTAAATAAATTATGGGATATCCATATACGGGATACTCAGTGGCTCAAGAAAAATGGAGTTGGTCTGTTTCACCTGATTTACCTGGGTGTCCACAATATATTACTGAGTGAAAAGAGCAAGTGGCAGAATAATATGTATAGTATCTCATTATGTAAAAAGATCACAGTGGTTAGAGATGTGCATGTGTGTGTGGGGTGGGGGATGTGTGTGTGCTGGGAGATTTAGGAGTTTACCTTTATCATTGACAATTTCTTCAGGCAAATAGGTGTTGTATGGTGTAAAGAGTTGGCTTTTACTTTTTCCTTTATGCACTTTTGTATGTTTTGCAATATTTTGCAAGTTATAATAAAAAATAACTGGGGAGGGAAGGTACTGCATTAAATTACTGAGGGCCTACTGGGTGCCAGATTCATACGGGTACTTGGAATGCATCAATGAATAAATATACATATACATATATACATATACATACATATATATATTCAAATAAATGAACTATGCAGATGGTAGAAAGTTCTGTGAGAAGACAAAGTGCAGGCAATGGGATAGAGCGTCAGGATAAGCATGGGAGGAGGTGGTGGTTCATTTTTAAGTAGGGTGGTCAGGGAAGGCTCATAGGTAAATTTGAGTCACTACCTGAGGGAGGAGAAGGCAGAGCCATTCAGATATCTGGGGGAAGAGTGTTCCAGGCAGGGTGAAGAGCAGTATGAAGTCCTAAAGTTGGGGAGTCCTAAAGTGGTTGAGGAATTGCAAGCAACCCATGGGGCTGAAGGGAGGTGGGACACAGGTGAATCATGACAGAAGATGTGGTCAGAGAGGGAGAGGAGAACATGATGTCAGAGGGATGGGAGCCCACCAGATCCTTGTAGGACTTGGCCTTTGTCTAGGTGAGGTGGGAAATGATTGGCAGGTTTTCAGCAAGGGGTTGGATGCTCTGACTTATGTTTTGACAGGATCCCTCTGGCCATTGTGGTCTAAATAGACCAAAGTGGGTAGGAAGCAGTGAGCATGGGTGACACAGAGATAGCAGTTAGGAGCATTGCAGTCATCCAGGCGAGAGAGGATGGTGGCTTCTCTCAGGTAGCAGTGGAGGTTAGAAGTGCACAGATTCTAGAAATATTTTGAAGGTAGAACCAACAGACTTTGATGATGGATCAGATGTGGGATATGAGAGGAAGAGAGGTGCAGAATTGATTCTAAGGTTCTGGCTTAAGTAACTGGAAGGATGGAGTTACATTAAATGAGGTGGAAAAGCCTGTGGGTAGAGTTATTTGAGCATGGAAAACCAGGAGCTTGTGTGTGGAGTATTAGGGCTGTTCATTAGACCTCCCTGTGGAAACATCTAGTAGTCAGACATATGAGTCTGGGGTTCCAGAGACATGTCTGAGCTGGAAATACAACTAGGGAGGTCATCAGTGTGTATGTGGTGTTAAAAACCATGAAACTAAATGAGGTCACCACTAAGTGAATGGAGATCAAGAAGAGTCCCAAGAACAGTGCCCTGGGTACACAGCATGTTTGGAGAATGAAAAATCATCCCAAAGGATGTATAAGAAACTTAACAGTGGTCGTATTTGGATCATAGGGGACTTTTCCTTCACCTTTTGTATTTCAGTGCTGTTTGAATCTTTATGATTATTATATGCTTGGAAAAGTAAGAAAACATGTCATGCTTCAGAGTTTTAGAGGAGCTTAGCTAGAAGATCAGGGGTCCAAAAATTCCTTCTTTAGACCCAATGAGTATCACTATTTCTATTTTATAAAAGCTTAATGATAAGGGAGTATTTTATGTAACTGACTGAATCATAGAAGTGATCGCCCAGCTAAGAAAAAAAAAAAAAAAAGTGTTGGGAAAGTAGCACATAATATTATTTACCTAAGTGTATGGAGTATTAGTAGGTTAAATATAAATATGTATCAGGACATAATATGTTTAAAGTGAAATATTAACATCTTCAATCCAATTTATTAGACCTTAAGTTATTTGGAATTTATTTGCCAGAGTAGGTAAATTAGAAACATTTATTAACTCATATGCTTTACTGTTTCATCCTCCCCTAAGAAGATGGTAATTTAGCTAACCACGCAACTAGATTGATAAAATAGGGATGCCATTAGGATGCATGGTGTAGTTAAACAACCTGGACTTGACTCCTGGACTTGTGTTACTCTGTTCTCTAGCCACTCAACAGAGCTGCTTGCTGAGCACTTGAAATGTGGCTAGTTCAAATTGTGATGTGCTTGTAAGGATAAAAAAGACGCTGGATTAAAAAATTGAGTACCAAGAAAGAATGTTCAACATTTAATTTATTAAAACTTACATAGATTACAGTGAAGTGATGGTATTTGGGGTATATTGGGTTTACAAAAATACTCTAATTTTACCTCTTTCTTTTTACTTTTTCAATGCGGCTACTGGAAAATTTAAAATTACAGAAATTACTTGCATTGCATTTCTGTTGGGCACGACAGAGCTTAGAGCAGGGAGTTTTGTATGGCCTCTAGGCTAAGAGGTTTTTTACCTTTTTTTTTTAAATTTTAGTCACCATACATTACATCATGAGTTTTTGATGTAGTGTTCCATGATTCATTGTTTGCGTATAACACCCAGTGCTCCATGCAGAACGTGCCCTCTTTAATACACATCACCAGGCTAACCCACCCCCCCACCCCTCTCACCTCTAGAACCCTCAGTTTGTTTCTCAGAGTCCATAGTCTCTCATGGTTCGTCTCCCCCTCCAATTTTGCCCGCTGGGTTTTTCACATTTTTAAATGGTTTAAAAAAAAAAAAAAAAAACCGTAAGAAGAATATTCTGGCACCCAGTGCTTCTTGTTGGTAGACTTGCATTGCAAAAAAATTGTATCCAGTTAATATTACCACATTTTGAATTTTGTCAGTAAAGAAAAAAAAAATCTATGGAAATCTATTTTCTCTTTCGTTATTTAGGTACCTACATAATATCCTCAGTTTTGCCATTTGGCCCTCAAAGCCAAAAGTAACTCATTATGTGGCCCTGTAAAAGTTCGCTGCCCCCTAATCTGAATACTCAGGGTTGAGTTCTGGCTGTTCCCACTTATTGCTGGGTGTCCTTGTCAAGTCTCTAATATCCCCCAAGTAGTTTTGACATTTATAATTGAGGATACTCACTCCAATTTCAGTGGTGTTACAGGATCAAATGAGAAATTACAGCCTCGGGACTTTGTAAATGATAAAGTTCTGTACAAAGGTAGCCCATTTTTTGGAAGTGCTTTAACCTCAGTACCAAAAACATGACAACAATGGGGAAATACAGATTCGGGTTATATGGCCTTGGGCCGGCAAAGTTAATGCACACATGGCTTTAACAAGGTATACTAAATAGTATGTGGTGGCTGTTACTAATTGTCCCTTCCTGTGCTCTTTTCTTGAAGTTGAACGAAGAAGACGATTTAACATAAATGACCGCATTAAGGAACTAGGTACTTTGATTCCCAAGTCAAATGATCCGTGAGTACAATTCCATGTTAATCTGCATCATATATTTTTTGGTACCTTAATGTTTATTCATATGTTGCAAAAAGTGCACAGGTACAGAAACTAGAGTCAAGAAGTACCCCCTCTCTTTTTGGTTCCATTTCTGGTATGCTTCTTGTTCCTTTCTTTTGGTTTGTCTCATCAAACTAAAATTTTGAGAGAAATCAATCGAATTGTATTTAAGGGTTACTGGACATCAGCTGTTAGCTTTGGATATGAGGAGGTGGCTTTCTGAAATCTGAGACTCCTTGGCAAGTGATCACCAAGCTGCTAGAAAAATTCTCTTAACGATTCACGCAGGGCAGAGATTTCAGTAGCTGTTTAGACTAGATTTGTTGACTATTTGCTGTACTCATACAGTATCTATGGGTCCTGAGAGCTGGTTTTAGAGACTTCGAGTTTAACAATATTCAACCGACAAAAGGTCACAAATTTTTTTTGAAAACTTGCATGCCCTCGGTATGTTACCAACCTGTAGAAAAGTAATTTTTAATCTTCTTTTTAAGTACACGTCAGCTGATTTGGGTTTCAGTTTCCAGTCTCTGCTTACCTCCCACCCCCTTTCAGACGGAGATAACAGTTGTAAAGATAATTTTCCTACCAACAATGTCAGCAAGTAGGACAACAAATACACGATTTTTATCCATTAGAAAGTGGCCCATTTGAAGTAAGGGGCTAGAGGATGTATACATTTTAATGGCTCCCACAGGCATCCAATGAAATTAGCCTTTGAATATGACCTTTTAGCTACCTAATAAAATGTAAAGATGAAATCAAGCATTATTCATGCAAGGCTTATTAAATTTGCTATTCACATTATTGTCAGGGAATTTGTGAAAAAATAAAATAAAATCATTGCCCATTGTAAGGTGGTTTTGATGGATGTTCAAGCACAATTTCCATCATCAACATTTTGCTTTCCCACGTTTCCAGGAAAGCCATTTTGAAACTCAAAACATTCAAATTCTCAGTTCTGCAGCACAAATTTATCCTACTAAGGGGCTGTGACCTTCATTTCCTATAGTCAGTCTTGCATGATAGTTGAAATTGAATTCCCATTTTCCTGTTCTTTATCAGCTTTCACTTTTTAGCATATTCTTTTAAACTGTAGCATATGAATCTCTTTAGCAACGTATTATGAAATTATGGGGCTGCAGTGAAAGCCTCTATTTGCATATCTTCTTTCTCTATTGTATTAGAATACTTACGTGTTTATAATCTGAACTGATAATGATCTTTAATTGTAGGCATTGTTTTAAGATAAATGGACTATATCTCTAATGGGAGTTTTTTCATACCAGTTTCTGGAACAGGCTCTGGGGCTGCTATAGGGACACAGTCCAGCTGACCAGGGTCTTAGCCCCATACGCTCTCCTCCCCTACAGCAGATCTGCTTTTGTTAATTTATATATTGGGGATCTTTTTATACTTCTGTGTGAAAAAAGGGTTGTTCTCTAATTATAAGGGGAAAAAAAAGTTTGAATACCCTTCCTTCAAGCCTAAAGGCATAATTGATTGATTGGGTCTCACAAGGAAGCAAAACCTAATAAGATAATTGGTTGGAATAGTCACTTCTTAAAAACTGAGTAGCTACTTACATGTGTCAGTATGGGTTTTTCAACTTCCTGGCCTCATTAAAGCATCTTTCATTATAGTTACATTTCTCTCTGACTGCCAAAGGGTCTGTTACTTTGATCTCAGCCCCGAACCTTAAACAAGTTAGCTCGGTGCTCCCTCTATCTCAGGACACCTCCCTGGGTAGCCCTCTTCAGTGCTCAGACCCCAGGGATCAACCCTCCCCCGCCAGGGAATTCTCTGGGGTCTGTAAGTCTGCCTCTCGTGAGAGAACTGTTTTGTTTTCATCTAATCCATAGGAGGATCAATTACTTGGTGACTTGTTTTAATGACCCTCCATTCATACATCCCGGCTAATACTTCCCATCTGCCTCGAGCAGCTGTAGGTTGTGGGGTAGAAGAGTTTTCATACATGAAGTTGTTTTTGATTTTTTTTCATTGTCCTTGTCATTGTCATCATGAGCACTGACTATGAAAGAGCTCAGATTAATTTAAGGTGCCCCAGAAATACTACTTATGTAATTATAATTTCATTCTTAATTATTTTTCTGGAGTGCTCTAAATTTTTCAGCTCACTTTTACCTACATTTTAATGGTGTTCTTAATTTCCTCATATACATGAGGACATTACAGCTACAGTGATTTAAAAACTCAAAGGCACCAAGCTCAGGCTGCCTGGGTTCGAATTCCAAAACAATCCCTTACTAGATGTGTGATCTTGGGAAAGACACTTGATTTTCCTCATCTGTTAAAAAAGGCAGGGGTGTTCAGAATATTCCTTCCTAGTCTGGTTGTTTTGAGGACTCTGTCACATGAGAAGAATGATATAATGATTCAGTGCATGGAGTCTGGAGCCATATCCTCTAGGCTTCCTGCCTCTGCCAGTTCCTAGCTGTGTGACCTTGGGCAAATTACTTCACCTCTCTGTGCCTTTGTTTCCCACTCTACAAAATGGGGACAATATTAGTGCCTAGCCACTGAGGTTGTGGTGATTAAATGATCTGTAAAACACCTTAAAACATACCTAGCACATAGTAAATGCTATTTAAAGATAACCATTATAATTATTCTGTTGAGCCTTTAACACAGTGCCTGCTCTGTTACTTGAATTGCATTCTAGACTTTTCCTAGCACATTCCTCTAAGAGGCCTCCTTAGAGTTCAGTAACGTACCTGCGAGGCTGTTCATACATGTGTAGTATCACCATTTTATAGATGAAGAAACAGGGACACAGAGAGAGGTTAGAGAACTTGGCCAGGAATATTCATGAGAAAATCCAAGGATACCACTTTTATGCTTCACATGGTCAAGTAGTAGGATCTCAAGGAATTTTTTTTTAACTGTAGCTTATTCTGCCTGTCTGAATGAGTTAACTTTGATAGTCCTAGAAACCTATAGCTCTTTAATATAGTTTTTAAGAATATTGATTTTTGTAATCAACAGAACTAAATTTAAGTCCTGACTCCACCTTAGAGTAGCTCTGTAACCGAGGGCATATTGAATAGTATCTGTTTCAGCACGTGCACCACACCCCTCCTTGCCAAGGTGCTTGTCTGGGACAGGTAGGATAAGGTCTAAGAAGGGGGTGGGTAGTGTCCGGCACGTGGAAGCACTCAGTGAATGGTAGCTGTCATCAACGTGTCATTGATTACGGTATCTTTAGAAATCATTGCATTATTATTGCATTATTCATGCCCTGAATAATGAATTTTCATTGTGCCTCAAATCCCGAAAAAGGTTGTTTTCTTCCTCTTCGCTACAGAGACATGCGCTGGAACAAGGGAACCATCTTAAAAGCATCTGTGGACTATATCCGAAAGTTGCAACGAGAACAGCAACGTGCAAAAGAACTTGAAAACCGACAGAAGAAACTGGAGCACGCCAACCGACATTTGCTGCTCAGAATACAGGTACGGGGCATGTGTTGTGAGCGGTTTGCAATATGTCCCTGACTTGGAGGTGGAAGGAAAAGGGGATATAATGAGCCATGGGGGACTTGATTTTTACACGATCCTAATACAGTAGCTACTCGTTATTTATGGATTCCCTGTTTGTGAATTTGCTACTCATAAAAATTCACCGTAACCCCAAGATCAACATTCTTGGCACTCTCGTGGTCCTTTGTGGACACGTGCAGAGTGGCTAATCTGAGTTAAGATCGAACAAGGCAATGACCTGTTGTCTTATTTCAGCTCACGCTATAAATAGGCATCCTTTTCATGGTCCTTAGTCCCAGGCTTTTCATATTTCTCTGGGTTATATGGGTGAATTTTGCTGTTTAAAATGGCCCCTAAGAGTATTACTGAAGTTGTCTGGTGTTCCTAAGCGTGAAAAGGCTGTGAGGTGTCTTACGGAGATAAGTTTCCTTCGTAGGTGAGTTGCAGTGCTGTTGGCTGTGAGTTCAACGTTAATGAATCAACGTTATGTATTAAGGTGCCTTTGAACATAAAACAAGGTTATATGTCAACCGGTTAATGAAAATGTGACTAAGACACTCATAGAAACCTAACTCTGTATTTCCTCTAGAAGCAATCGTTTGGTATTTACTAATTCGGAGTTCAGAGCAACTTTATAGAACATAACTGTCTTAGTGCATTTGGACGGCTGTAACGAAATACCACAGACTGGGTGGCTTACACAACAAACATTATTTCTCAGAGCTCTGGAGACTAGGAAGTCCAAGATCAAGGTGCAGGTAGATTCAGTGTCTGGTAAGAGTCTGCTTCCTGTTTCATAGACAGGGGTAGTGTCTCTGGGTCTTCACCATGGCGGTAGGGGAGGGGGGTTTGTGGTGTTTCTTTTATAAGGGCATGAATCCCATTCATGAGGACTCCACCCTCATGACCTCATCACCATCCAAAGCCCTACCTCCAAATACATTGTACTGGTGATTAGATTTCAACATATGAATTTTGGCAGGGGTGGGATGGGGACGCAAGCATTCAATCAGTAGCAATAATTACCTCCAATAGTGAGAATTGATTGAAGTTGTTAAATACCGAGATGCCTTAGTATTTGGTGGGGGCATGTAGCCCATGGTCAAAGCCCATGTTTATAGGGAACTTGGAGACGTCCAGACGATCTTATCCTCAAGATAAAAATTGTAGAAATAGTTACAGATAGTGAAATTATACCATATGTATGTATGTATGTATCTTTAACTCACACTATTTATTCTTAGAGGGAGAAATACTAACTCTGATATGTGGAATTCATCTGTTGTTCTGTGTATCGAGTATACATACCAGTGTGAAGTGTGAGATGGGGCAGTCCTTCTGTACTACCAGCTCCTGGTACTCCTCGTAGGTGCTCAGGCTCTCCGGCTGAGAGTAAACACATAACTTCCTCTGAAACTGTCTTGAAGAAGACAAAGAAAAATGGACTCTCTGCTGCTGACCAAAGGAATTGGCAAGAGTAATTTTCATTTACTTGCTGACCTTGAACACAGTCCACCAGTAAGAGCCAACAGAGTACCTTCTTCTTGAGTAGATGGACCCCCCTTTTACCATTTTTTCAGGTTTCCAGTGCAACTCTGGTGGCAAGCCAAGCCTGACCCTTCAGACAGCAGCGTGTTTGATCTGGTGGTGTGTGTCCTGGACACCGAACCTCTTTAACAGAGTCATTCATTTATAATAATGATCTCCGATCTTTTGAGCACCCCAGAACACTGTGGACATCTCTCAGTATCACTTCTCCCATTGCAGGCAGTGATCTTCAGCAGGGTGTCAGATGACGATTCTCCCCTAGGGGGTGCATTTTCGAATGTCCATAGTGAAGCAGAGGTTGCATGTCATTTGGAAATCCCTTTTTTTTTTAATCTTTTTTTGTTTTTTGTTTGTTTTATGTTCATATGATCTCTTCAGTAAGTAGCCATAGGTCCTTTTCTCTTGAACGTGACATACCCATTTATAAAAGCAGCTTATACTAATATGTTATTTCCTTATACAAATGTTAAAACATAGGAACTCTTTTGAAAGAGAAGCTAAGTTTTGTTTTCAGCATCCAAACACGTCTCTTCGTGTGGAATATGAGTATTGTGAAAAACGTGGATTAGAAGTGCCACGGTGAGGATGTTGTGGGTTTCTTCCAGTGACAGTGGGGGGCAGCCTGTAGAACTTTTGCATATCACAGAACACATTGGTAATTAGGGAGGCTCTGCCATACGGTGAGCCTGAGTTCTCCAGATGAGACTTAGCACATTGTTTAGAAATCTAAGTAATGCTTTAATCAGCTGATAAGCATTTTTAATTAAACAACAGGAGATCAGAGTAAAATGTTTGCCTCTTTTTATCCAACTTTCTTTTTAAGACAAACTACATGTATGGAGGAGCTGTTTTTATTAGCATGTTGGTGTAGATTTACAATAGAGCATGTTTTAAGCTTGGGCCTAAGGGCTTCCTTTCATTTTCGCTCCAAGTGATGCATGCAGAAATTTTCACAGAAGAAAGAGCATGAAGCCTTAATATCATTGGAACCATAATTTTATTAAACAACCCAAGGCTTTAAAACGATGCCTGAAGAGGCTTGTGTTTCTGGAGATCGAGCAAAGGAACATGTACATACTTGTGTGACATCTCAGGCTCCCGTCTCTGACGTGTCATGCGTCCAGAGAACAATCTCTACTGCACACTGAACATGACTTTTCAGGAACATACATTTCTAGGCTTGTGGGCAAAGGTTGAGTGGCTGGATCACGTGGGAGGCTACTTTTCCCTCCTTCGTGAGGCACTGTGACTTGCTTCAAATTTATATTCTGTCCTTACTATATTAGTGTATGACAAGCATAGAAAGGATCGTCTTGGCACATAGAAGCAGAATGCTCATCGAGAGTCATTTGGGTTCAATTTAGGAGGGATCCAGGGATACTCAGGGAGAGTGGAAAGAGCACACTTGGATGGCATTTTGAAACGAGGAACCCAGGGAGGCTGTGACACTTGGGAAGTGCATTAGTCTTCTCAGGCCGCTCTAATAAATACCACTGGTCTGGAGGCTGAAACACCAGAGCAGCCTCTTCTTGCAGTTCTGAAGGCTGGAAATCCAAGGTCAGGGTGTGGGCAGGATTGGTTTTTCTTTACTTCCCTGGAAGGCTGCCTCTTCTTTGTGTTTTCCAGTGGTCTTACCTAGGTGTATCCCTGTGTTCTAATCTCTTCTTTTTTTAAATTTAAATTCAATTAATTAACATGATGTACTGTTTGTTTCAGGGGTACAGGTCAGTGATTCAGCAGTCTTATATAATACTCAGTGCTCATTACATCATGTGCCCTCCCCAATGTCCATCACCCAGTTACCCCATTCCGGCACCCCCACTCCCCTCTAGCAACCCTCAGTTTGTCTCCTGAGATTAAGAGTCTCTTATGGTTTGTCTCCCTCTCTGGTTTCATCTTGTTTCATTTTTTCCTCTCGTCCCCTATGATCCTCTGCCTTGTTTCTTAAAGTCCACATATCAGTGAGATCATAATGCTAATCTCCTCTTCTTCTAAGGACATCTGTCCTATTGGAGGTTGGATTAGGGCCCACCCAAATGACCTCATTGAACTTAATTACTTCTTTAAAAAACAGCATCTCTAAACAGAGTCACATTCTGAGGTGCTGGGAGTTACGACTTGAACATACGAATTTTTTTTTAAGATTTACTTTATTTATTTGAGAAAGAAGAGAGGGGGAGAGAGAGAGAGTGAGCACAAGTGGGGAGGAGGGCAGAGAGGCTCTCAAGCAGGGCACTGAGCGGGGAGCCTGACGTGGGGCTTGATCTCATGACCCTGGAACATAATAAATTTTTCAATTCAGCCCATCATATAAGGGATGTGAAGAAGCGTAGAAAGGAATTATTCATCCTCCCTATAAGAACTTTCTTTTGGAAATAAAAAAAAACAGAAACCAACCAAACGCCATACTTCCCTTGGCCCTGGTAAGATGAGTTAAGTGACACTTCTCAAACTTAAGTTCCTTATGTACAACTTCTACAAGTTTCGCCATTCCCACCCAGACTTTTTTAGGTCATGATACCCTTCGTATCTTAGTAACTGTTTCACTCTGCCCTCGGCCAAAGCAATACCTACCATTTCTTTGTTAGGTCCAAGCAACTTACTGAATATTTAGGTCCTAACAACTTAGTCGCCACTTGAAAATACAAAACATAGAAGCCGAAAGGAAAAAAGCATTTTTATTTTATTTTTTAATAACTGCATTACCTACTAATGGGATGTGTGTGTCTGTTGCACACTGCACAGCTTCTGCAGCCACAGAATCTGGTTGGACAGTGCCACCCTCATTTCTCCTCCCGTGTTGGTTTTCATGGAATTCTTACTTTTTATCACAGCAACACCAAAGACCCGCCTTCGCAATGATACATGATGGAGACGCATGTCGCACAGTTTAATGCTGAGACTGTGGACCATCTTGAATTTGATAGTTCTCAGAGTAGTGTGCTATTTCCCCAGATATCTGAAAATGTCACAGTACCCTGAGAGTTCCCTGCAGCACACGCCTGGATAGGCGCACACAGTTTAGGGACCCCAGAACTGCATTATTTACTGAACACTTTCCTTTAATCAGCTCACATTTTGAAATTTTATATTCATATTTGTCTTTATTTCTGTGTTTTTAAAATTTATCTTCAGAAACATGAACATCTGGGAGAGACTGTCTCTGTATTTAATACCTAATGAAATCCGTGTAGCACCTAAAACTCACATCATATACTACTGGTGGTTCCTATACTCTATTTTAAGAAATAGCATTTATTAATTGAAAAGAGCAAAAAAAAGATTATTTTCATAATTTATTGTTTTTTCCTCCAAGTGTCTGACTTTTAATACTTTACTTTTTTAAAAAAGATTTTATTTCTTTATTTGAGAGAGAGAGTGAGCACAGAGGGAGAGGGAGAAACAGACTCCCCCCTGAGCAGAGAGCCCCACATGGGGCTGGATCCCAGGACGCTGAGATCACGACCTGAGCCGAAGGCAGATGCTTAACTGGCTGAGCCACGCAGGTGCCCCTAATACTTTACTTTTTAGAGAAATTTTAGGGTCACAGCAAAATTGAGAAGAAGGTATAGAGAGACTCCCCATATGCTCCTGGCTCTCCCACAGGTCCACTGCCAGCCACACCCCCCACCACAGTGGTACATTTGCTACAGCTGATGTACCTACACCATACAACATCGTCACCCAAAGTCCCTACTTGACCTTAGAGTTCACTGTTGGTGTTGTACATCCGATGAGTTTGAACAAATACATAATGACACGTATGCCCCATTATAGTATCACATACAGTACTTGGACTGCCCTAAAGTCCTCTGTACTCCGCCTCTTGAAACATCTGATTTTTTTTTACTTTCATTTTAGGAACTTGAAATGCAGGCTCGAGCTCACGGACTTTCACTCATTCCATCCACGGGCCTCTGCTCCCCCGATTTGGTGAATCGGATCATCAAGCAAGAACCCACTCTCGAGAACTGCAACCAAGACCTCCTTCAGCATCATGCAGACCTACCTTGTACGACGACACTCGACCTCACAGACGGCACCATCACCTTCAACAACAGCCTTGGAGCCGGGACCGAGAGTAACCAAGCCTACGGCGTCCCCACGAAAATGGGATCCAAACTGGAAGACATCCTGATGGATGACACGCTTTCTCCCGTGGGCGTAACTGACCCACTGCTTTCGTCAGTGTCCCCCGGAGCTTCCAAAACGAGCAGCCGAAGGAGCAGCATGAGCATGGAAGAAGCCGAGCACGCTTGTTAGCGGGCCCTCCCTGCCCTGCGCTTTCAGAAACTGCTTCCTTTCTTGATTCGTAGGTTTCATAATTTACCCAAAGGGGGTTTCTTGATAATTTTCCTTTAATATGGAAGTTTTTTTCATGCTTTATCAATAGCCCAGGATATATTTTATTTTTAGAATTTTGTGAAACAGACTTGTATATTCTATTTTACAACTACAGATGCCTCCGAAGTATTGTACAGTGAGTGTACAGTATCTGCGAACTGAATTCACCCTGGACTTCAGCTTTCTGAGCAAGAGGATTCTGCATCAGAGAAATTTCTGTCCATTTTTATTCAGGGGAAACTTGGTTTGAGATTTTAATGCCTGTGACATCTTTGGAAATTAAATGTAAAGTTTAATCGAAAGAATGTAGAGCAACCAAAAATTAAAAAAAAAAAAAAAAGGCAGAGAGAAAGAGATTGAGGAAAGAAAGGAAGAAATCCACACTAACCTTTTTTCATTTTGTAAATGTATTGATTCATTGGTACTGCATTAAAGATCCAGTACTGTTCTAACAGCATTTAGTTTTTCTACTGCAAACTATTTAAGGCAATACACTATTCTGTAAAAGAAAAAAAAAAAGTACACCCAATTTCATGAGGATTGTCTGGTTAGAAAATGTAACTGATCCCTTACTTAGGTGCAAGTGAAATTGAAGGGTTAGAGACCTAGGCTCTGAAACATGGGCTCTAATCTTGCTGTCCTTCACTCTTTGCTCTGTTACAGTTTTCCTCATCAATGAGTGTGATTCAATTTTCCATAAGATATATTTTATTTTGAAAAGGAAATGAGTGTCCTCTCAAAGTAAAATATTGAGGAGCACTGCAAGTTGTCCTTTTTTTTTCTTTTTTCTCTCTTCAATTTCACTTTTGATAAAGAAAACCAAACTGGGCACATTTCTAATTGGCTTTCCTATTTTTATTTTTAAATTATGTTTTACTGTTCATTTGATTTGTACAGTTTCTTTATTATCATCGTTCTTTTCAGTATGTTTGTATTAATTTGTAAGAATATGCATCTTAAAATGGCAAGTTTTCAATATTTTTACAACTCACTGGTGGTTTTCCGCATTCTTTGTACACACGTGAAAGAACACTTTTATGCAAGGTCTTGTGTTTAAAGAGAGCTTTGCGAATATTTTGTATATTACAGTCTCACTCGGAACCGTTTTTTCCACACATTTAAGGTGTAGTATTAATAGGTTAAAACTGGCTTTCTAGAGAAAATAAACTTACATATTTATTTTTAGTGATATAAAAGTAGCAATATGCGTGGAGACTGATAACCATAGCGTTAATACGCCCATTACGGTCATTTAAATTGGGGTTTATTTCAGCGAACTTGCTGAATTTTTGGAAGGAGAGAAATACTGTATTGGCAAATTACTGTTACTTGATAACAGTGTTTTAACAAGCAGCAAAGTTGTAAGTTAGTTTCAGTGCATTATCTACTTGTGTAGTCCCTTGCAACAACAGTAGTGTTACGTGTAATCTATCTGGCCTACGTGTTTTATACAGCTGACACATGGTGTTAAGAGCCAGGCTGTTGAATGGAATTTCTCAGTAGCAGCCTACAATTGAATAGCAAGTGGCATAAAGCATATCCATTCAGAATGAAGTGCCTTAAATATAGCAGTAGTCTTTTTTGGACTAGCACTGACTGAACCGTAATATAGGAGACAGTTTCAAGATGGTATCTATAGTCAAGAGGAACATGGAGCATGGTGCCTATGTAGACAATATAAGAGCTTCCAATTTTCCTTCAGATATTTTTCATATTAAATGTATTTTAGTGACAGAGTGCCAACTTCTTTCATCAGGAAACCTTATTCAGGAGGGGTTTTTTTAAAAAAAAGAAAATGAGTTTAAATGTCAAATACGAATTGGTGGATGGGTATTGGAGGGTTCAAAGAGAAGGTGTGATTGTCAGATGTTTGAATGGGTAGCTTCCGTGAAAATAATCAACTGCATAGTTCCCATGCACGTTGGGCAATGAGAATCCTTGGAAACATTGATGATGCTATCAGTTTTATAGCTTTATTACCGAAGGGGGTAGGGAAAATTAATGCCCATTCTTTCAATCCCCTTAATTGTATAGCTCTTTTCCTAGAATAGTGATGCAAATCTGCATGAACAGCTAACTGTACCATAGTGTTCATTGATACAATCATAGCATTGTCTATTTTTCTCTTCATATTTATATGGGGGGAGGGGAGCTGGGTGCAGAAGTCAAAGATCTCGACGGTATGATGCTTGTTTTCTTTAGCTGATGGTGAGGGTTCTTAAAAATGGAGCAAGGTTGACTAGCTCCTGGCCCAGGGAATATGGCCAGGGCTAAGTGACCTTATAGAAAGCTCTGTTGAGAGGAAGCATGGCATCTCGTACCACTGTCCTGACTTTCGCAACTCCTGAGCTCACTGTCGCCTGCTTCCCCATCCCCTTCTTCTTAAGAGACAATTTCTGGGAGTGACGGGTGAGGAAGCCCAGGAGAATGCTGCAGCCTCGGGGGTGGTTTTATTTCTTTCTTTTTTGCCAAATCGAGTGTGGATTTGTTTTAGGGACTAGTTAAGCCAAGAAGCGGTGGTTTGGGGTCATCATTTATGACAACGAGAGAATGATCCACACCACTCCCCCCATCCCTGAGAACAGACTTGTGACTTGGGGTTGGGCCTCCATATGGAGTGACCAAAATGCCAAACTTGTCCACCTGCCTCCGGGTAAGGCAATGGAAATACCAAACCTTTTGACTTTGCCAAAAATCCTACAACCAACCTGGTCATACATAGGATGACAAAGTTCTTTCTGGTTGTTTTTAAATAATAAAGCAATAAGAACAAATAAAATACATAGGAAGTTAAGAGATATAAAATAAAGCACAAAGGAATGCACTTATTAATATTTTTTAAAAATGCACTGGGGAAAAGCTGGTGTTGATAACAGTATATTAAAAAAACCCTATTTCTTGAAAAAAAAATGACAAATGACTGTCTCTTGCGGACGCTTGGTACTGTAATGTTAATAATATAGTCACCTGCTGTTGGATGCAGCAATAATTTCTGTATGGTCCATAGCACTGTATATTATGGATCGATATTAATGTATCCAATGAAATAATTGAACTGTTGTTCTTGATAGCCTCATTAAAGCATTTGGTTTTCCACATAGTGGTGGCCAGTTGTTTTTAGTTAATGACAATTTTGAATATTGTTTGCCTTATCCAGAATGGTAGCACACCTTTTCTTCTGATTTAACGAATAACAGATTGCAGGAAAAATTTTAAAATGCCAGTAAGTACATTTTTTTTTTGTTTTAAATGCCAAGATATTACTTTTTGGTTTTCAACATTTTTGATTATGACTTGCACTCAGATGAACTATAATTATACAGCTTTTTAACCCCCTTCTGAATTTGGGGGAGATTTTAAACTCCCAGATGCCAAGAATTCATTTTAGATATAGGAGTTTTATTTAACATGTTTTAGTGAGAGGTGGCTTTACAAGAAGAGAAATTGTCAGGGAAGCCCTTGCATATTTACGAAAAAGACATTGGGTTTTTAAAATACAAATTTACAATAATGAAAGCTTAATATACCCAGGTTGCCAGCTCCTGGCTGTATTTTTTTTAAATACAGCACTTAAGAATCATTTGATAAATGTTGGATTTGACTTGGGAAGTGTCAGACAAAACATGTCTTTATTCCCTAGCTAGACCTTAAACTTCTGCCCTCTTTAAAAAATATTCTGGTTTAACCTCTGGAGAAAATGAGCAAGAAACTTCCTGTAATGCTTCAGATCTGATTGTCAGCTTTTTGTTAAATTTGATTTTTTTTTCTTAAATTGTAATATACAATAATCAAGCCCTTTCTTTTTCAGAGTTATTGAATTATTTATATTTCCCATAGAAATGTGATTATGTGATGCCTTAAAGACGTGTAAAAGTAGGAAGATTTCCTATCTCAACAAGAAGTTTTCTGGGCAACCTTGAAAGCAGGTAAGCTGAAGGTTGGAGTTCTTCATCTCAGGAGGTCTGCAGCTGAACCGTAACCCTGACTTGGCATTTGCTTCTTCACATTCACCTCACAATCCTTCCCTCCCTCCCTCCCTCCCTCCCTCCCTCCCTCCCTCCCTTCCTTCCTTCCTTCCTTCCTTCCTTCCTTCCTTCCTTCCTTCCTTCCTTCCCTCCCTCCCTCCCTCCCTCTCTCCCTCCTTCCTTCCCTCCCTCCCTCCCTCCCTCCCTCCCTCCTTCCTTCCTTCCTTCCTTCCTTCCTTCCTTCCTTCCTTCCCTCCTTCCTTCCCTCCTTCCTTCCTTCCTTCCTTCCTTCCTTCCTTCCTTCCTTCCTTCCTTCCTTCCTTCCTTCCCTCCCTCCTTCCTCCCTCCCTCCCTCCCTCCTTTCTTCCTTCCTTTCTTTTTTTTTTAAGCGATCTTCACACCCAACGTAAGGCTTGAACTTACAACCTGGAGATCAAGAGTTGCAAGCTGTACTGACAGAGCCAGCCAGGCGCCCCTCCAAATATCCTTAATCTCTAGCTTCCCCCTGCCAAAAGAAAACAAAAACAAACAAAAAAACACATCCTATGTGTTAGAGCACTGTTACGTGAACATCACACATTTGCCTACAGCTCGTGTGATCTTATTTCATATTCACAGACTTAGATTTATTAAGTTTTGTATTAAGTGAACTCACTTAACAGATAAATCTATCCACGAAGTGGCAAAACCTGGACTGGCAGCTAGATCTCCTGAATTTCAATCTTGTCTCTGCCCAGTTCCAGCTATGTGATTTTGAGCAAGTTACTTAGCCTCTCAGTGCCTCATTTTCCTTTCTGTTCTTTGGTGATCGTAACAGCGGCTACCACGTGGTGGTCTTGTGAAGTCCGTTCAAGTGAACAGACTAGAATTTTTGCTTGGCAGCACATAGTAAATGCTCAGTAAATGGTAGCTGTGATTTTATGATCATAATCCCTCCATTAATAAAATGGAGCCCACCCCCTGGACTACCTGAAATCATTGTGTGTATCAAACGTGGCATGCACTGTTTGAGAAATACTGCATTTTTGCACAGAGCTAATATTCGTGTGAACTGGCAAGGTGACAGAAGCCACAGGGTACTTTCGAGAAGAGGACCGCACTGTATCTAGGACCCAGGGTTAGAATATTTTAGAGAATAATAAACCCAATTTATCACCTTTTAAAAACCTCATCAGCACAAATGACCTAAGATTTAAATTGTATTAAATGTGTATAATCTGCATGGGTGCCTCTGCCATGAGAATAATTATGCTATATTATTCCCAGGAAATGTGCTTTACTGAAGTAGAAATCTCCATTATATTCCCTAGAGAATTAAACTTTTTGATCCTTTATGGTATACACTGATGTTATATATCTCAAGAGTGATGTCTTGACTATATCCTGTCTGTTCACTTTCCTATCAATATTTAAATGGTTTTCAGGTTTTTATTTTCAATTATACTTACATTTGATGACTTCCTTGGAACACCATCTGAGGAGTTAATCTTCATAATCCAGCCAACATAAATGAACCTTTAGAACTACCCTGTTTTTATTTTTTGTGTATGCCAAGATTTAATGCATAGCCAAGTAGCATGAGGCAAGCTCATTTAAGAGGAGTGTTGTAAAGTTAGATTTTCATTATATTTAGTGAAAGATGGTGATGATCTCTTAATTCTTCGCTGCCACATCTGAGGCTCAATAGCTTCATGTCCTCACCCATACTAACATAAATCCATAATATACATCTTGTGCGGAATGTAAATGAAAAAGCTTCCATTCCATTCCCAGTTTTCCCAAGAGGCATGTACCAAAAAAAAAAAAAAAAAAAAAGAAAGAAAGAAAGAAAGAAAAAAAAGCAGAGCACATTTGCCATATTAAAATTGTCAAGCCCTTGTTTATAGATAAAATTTAGACATGGCTAATCTTATTTGTGTTCAATATTTATAGGTCTTTGGAGCCTATTACTTATACCAGATATACTGGAAAGTAATATAACTGTACGCAAATCCAAGTAAGTCTCAGCAACATTTCTAAATGGTAAAGGCAGTTTGCTTTTGAAAAATTTGCATTTTAAATTTCTAATTATGGAGTCAGTTGAAGTTAAATCCAAATGGGTGCAATTGTCACTCAAAATGTCTTCCATATTATTCAGACAGCAAAATCTGTGTAGATAGAAACCACTCAACTAGTGTTTCCCAAACTTTGCTTTATGGAACTAATTCCACAAGCTGTTCCAAAAGTTGCTTTGGGGAATTGGGGTTTGGAGGTTGGGTTAGGAAGCAAAATACCCTATTTCATTTTGAGGAACTTAAACATATTTGAACAGGTATCTGTACTGTGAGACTTCTCACATTCTCAAATATGCCAGTATGCACTGAGAGTCTTCAGGATTGAGAAATGTATTTAATGTTTCACAATCTTACTTGACCACAGGGTTTTGTGTGTATGTGTGTGTGTAAAATACTTGTTCATGGTTCCAAAGAACATAGTTTGGGAAATTCCAGAGATTTTACAGAAATTATATAGAGCTGATAAAATAATTTCTTTCATTCTTAAGGTAAGTATGCTTACATTTATTTATTATTCAATGGGTAGAAACCATTGTCACTAAAGAATTCTTCCTGAATAAGCAGATTTGCTTAGGTTTGGATTCTGCAAATATAAAATTCTGGTTAAAAAAAAAATTCTGGTTAAGGAAACTATTGCTATTTAAATAATATTATTCCTGAATTTAAAAAGTAATTTATGTTATTTTTATTTATTTTATTTTTTTATTTTTTTTTAAAGATTTTATCTATTTATTTGACACAGAGAGAATGAGAGAGAGAGAGCACATGAGAGGGGGGAGGGTCAGAGGGAGAAGCAGGCTCCCCGCCGAGCAGGGAGCCCGATGCGGGACTCGATCCCGGGACTCCAGGATCATGACCTGAGCCGAAGGCAGTCGCTTAACCAACTGAGCCACTCAGGCGCCCTTAATTTATGTTATTTTTAATGGAAATAGAAATACTCTTAGGCTCACGTTCAATGTGCCTTTTCTTTCTTTTTTTTTTTTAAAGATTTTTATTTATTTATTTGAGAGAGAGAATGAGATAGAGCATGAGAGGGGGGAGGGTCAGAGGGAGAAGCAGACTCCCTGCTGAGCAGGGAGCCCGATGCGGGACTCGATCCCGGGACTCCAGGATCATGACCTGAGCCGAAGGCAGTTGCTTAACCAACTGAGCCACCCAGGCGCCCGTAATTTATGTTATTTTTAATGGAAATAGAAATACTCTTAGGCTCATGTTCAATGTGCCTTTTCTATGACTGGTAAAAAGTAGTCCTTTATATTTCATGTCTCCCACCCTTTGAAATACAAATACCCAATATGTGGGAAGAATGGGGGAGATCTCGCCTGCTGTATGTACAAGGGGTTTATCACTTTGGGTCCTGCTCAATGATTTTTGGTGGAAGGGAGTTAGGAAGAATTGTATGGTATTCAGAATTTACATAGTCTTCTCAGTGATTTCTTTGTTTTTAAGATTTTATTTTTTTAAAAGATTTTATTTATTTATTTGACACAGAGCACAAGTAGGCAGAGCGGCAGGCAGAGGGAGAGAGAGAAGCAGACTCCCTGCTGAGCAGGGAGCCCGATGAGGAACTCGATCCCAGGACCCTGGGATCATGACCCAAGCCGAAGGCAGATGCCCAACTGACTGAGCCACCCAGGCGCCCCTAAGATTTTATTTTTAAGTAATCTCCACACCCAAGGTGGGGCTCGAACTCACAACCCTAAGATCAAGAGCCGCAGGCTCCACTGACTGAGCCAACCAGGTGCCCCTCAATGATTTCTTTTTTTTAATGCAGGCAAATCCTAACAGGTTATATCTCAAAAGTTCAGTTAATTGGTTGTAGGCCAACCCACAAAAGCCACATTAATTGTCATGGATCTGGTATATTATAGTATTAAAGATTGTTTGAGAATTGAAATAGCCGTATTACAAAGTCTGAGGGAAAACACATTAGCACATCTTTCTATTCCTTACAAATGAGATCAGAGATTTCTTTCATTCGACACCTTTTTTACGATGTTTTTTTCAGCCCCCACAGTTTGTCTGGAAATAAATGGTGACCAGAGGACCTTGGCTCCGGTGGGACGGAGGAATGCGTTGGTTTATATGACCACAAAGTTGAAATGGTAAATGTAACTTCACGTGCATCTGAATTGTTAAGGGCGCAAAGGCATTTAGTCTACCTGTCTCTCATTTTCTTGATTCTGTGCTCCTCTTTGCAGGTGAGTCTTCTCCATGTGGACCCCACAGTCCAGCTGAAAGCCGACGCTTCCTTCCCAGTGTCTATGGTCAAGTCCCTGTATCCGTTCTGGTCAGGCCCCCTGAGTAAGAGCACCATGGTAGGAAGATGGAACACGCCAACTGGCCAGGTCTGGGTCACATGGTCCACTCCACTAGGTTCCCTCAGCCACACCGAAACCATGTGGACCAAGGGAAAGGAAGGTGGGGTTAATTCACCCAGACTGCAAGGAGTGATGCTGAGCCTAAAATGGGGAGGAGATTCTGGGCAGACAAAACCCCAAGTATTCATTCCTGTAGATCTCAAGAGGTTTGGGCAAGCTCTCCCTTTGCCAGTCTCTTGCTCCTCCCACATGTATCAATTTGGGATTTTTCTTTCCTCTACCTTAATGGCAGGATGGTGGGAAGGGAGGGAAAGAAGGTATTCAATGCCTAGAATTGTATCTCCCTCCTCATCATTTGTGGCTAGTTTTCCACAATTCTCCAGCTCTCACCCCCGCCCCCACATGGAGATCCTAAGACCCGAGTTCTTCAATAAGATGTCGAGAGGACTCCCGAAGCACAAGTTCCTCTGAGTACACAAGAACTCTTACTTCCATCATTTCCAAAGCCCCCTGGGCTGTCAGGGTGTGTTCACTTGCTCATGACAGAAACCAAACTCCCATCTGGCTCAAACTGGAAAGGGAGATTTGCTGGTCACATAAAAAAACTCCATGGATGAAACTCGGTGTGGTGACCTCCGATCCTCAAATGACAAGGTCATGAATGGTTTGCTGTCTCCTACTCACCTCGGGTCTCCTCTCTGTTGGCCTCATTCTCATGCAGGCTGTCCTGGTGAGGCGGCAGAATGACTGATGGCCCCAAACACACCCCTGCAGTTTATCAGCCAGCCTGGAAGAGGTGTTTCTCTCCTCCCAGAGTCTCCTTGGCCCAGATTGGCCAGTGTGCTTATTCCAGGACCCATACCTGTTGCCAGGGGCATGGAACAGACTGATAGGTCATGCCTCATCATGTTTCCACCCATTGAGCCAGGTGGCCTCTGTCCGTCTGGAGGGGAAAGGGACAGCCCTGAAAGCTGGGAAGGTGGTCCTCCTATGGCCCTTGTTCACTTGTCCTTTCCGTCTGTGGGTGCCTACCTCTTGCTCTTCCACCACTGGACTCTTTATCATTTAGGGCTCAGGTTAAATATCACCTCTTCAGAGAAGAGGGCACTGACCACCTTTCAGAAAGGAAGTTCTATTTGTATTTTTTAATACGCCATCTTGTTTATTTCCTTCAGAGCCTGTTTGTTCTACTTCTCTTCCTCCCCCTCCTGATCTATCTTTCCCCACCTTCTCCTCCACCTCCTCCTCCTTTCTTTAAACCAATGAGCTGGTTTCCTGTCACTTGTATATAAAATAATCATATTTGCGATCGGTGGAAAAGTACTGGCAATTTATTATCAATAAGTATGCAATCTTTTTTTTTTTTAAATAACATGAAACATAAATAAAATTGGAAAAAAGTACTAGGTTGAAAGAATGTGTTTGCTAAGACTAGAAATATGTTTACAAGGACATCATCACATCCTATTCCCATGAGTTCTTGGGAGAGTACAAGTTCCATATGAATTAAATAATGTAACTTGTATCTTTAAATGGTCCAAATTTTGATGATAGACTTTCTCAAGTGTATTATTCCCTGCCTTTTGAGACAGAATATCATGAAGATAATTTTACCTGAGCTTGATGGCACAGGGTCATCTGTAAGGTCCTTATTTCACTGAGCTGTAAGACAGCGGTGCCCTTGGGGGCTTCAGAGCTAGAATGGGGGTTGTGGTCCCCGTATTAAGGGCCCTAGAGACAGTGCTCTTACCCTGTCCTCTTTCCTCCCCAACCCCTTCCAGTGTGTTGCTGCAGCCCTACCATGGGTTTGGGAGAACTGCTAACCCAGTCAAATCATTGACAGTTAATAGAATTGTGTCTTGTATGGGGGAGATGCGCCACGGATGAAGATCAGGGCATTCTTACATGCAGTGCATCATCTTTCCGGCTTTCACTGTGGCTGTGCAGAGACTGTTTTCTCCTACTTTCCTATTTCCCACCGGTCTTTAGCTAACAGAAGTTGCCAATTTGTGACTTGGTTAAAGACATTTTACTGTGATTAGAAACCCAGGCCAGACTGGGATCACGGGCTTCTGGGTTCCTACACCTCTCACAGGCCGTTCTTCTCTCCACACTTTGCAAGAGTTTCACTAAATTAGTTCAGCTCAGACGATGACAGTGGTCAGCGAATTCTTCTCTAAGGAACCAGGTAGTGAATCCCACAGGCTTTGTGGGCCAACAGGAAAAATCAAGGATATGATATTGGTACGTGAATGAGAAGGGAAAAAACAAATTTCCATGGATTTTACATGAATGAGTTTCAAGGTATAAATAATGATAATCAAGTATAATTTTTGCAACACAGTTTTACTCATGGGAAGAATGAAATCCCTTTTTGGGAGGGAATAACAATTTTGCTTAATTGGGATTCAAAGTTAGTGTTCTTTAGCATCAAATTCATTATAAATAGTCATCTGTAAAAGCCATCTTAGCTTACAGGCTATTTGGGAACAGGTAGTGGGCCAGATTTGGGCCACAGTTTCCCGACCCCTGGACTATGGCATAAACTGATCATTGTCCCTCAATATCTGTTGTCTCTTCTTCCTTTTAGTAATATAATGTTCTGAACTTTAGCTCAGCTCCTAGCCACACTGCTGGCTTCCTTTCTTTCCAGCCTTCCTTGCGACTCAGTGGGACCAGGTCATTCCATTCCGGATAATCAGATGTGAGTAGCCCTCCATTCCTTGGAAGGAGTAGATGCCCTGATGACTATGGCAGAGCTGCTCCACCAGCCTCTGGACTGCTGTGTGGACAAGATAGAAACTTATTTCAAGTCTATATTTTGAGATCGTACAGTTTAGTTATACTCTCAGATACTATATACTGTATGCTCTACAATTCAAAGGAAGACATGTTCTCTCTTTCTCTTCCATGTCCTCCTGTTTTTCCTTCTTCATTCTTTTCTTCAATGACATTACTTGAGGATTTTCACCCTCTCCTCCTGGCCTTCCTACTCAAATCATCTAAATCAATGAGTTTTTTTCTCTTTTTTTTTTTTCCTGCTTAAGCAAAAAACAAATTAAATTCCCCTTTGTAGCTTAGATGAGAATCATTGAATAGAATTTAAAAGCTATGTAAGGATTTTGTGTGTTTCCAAGATGAAGCTCATGAGATGGAGTTGCTCTTTTGTAATAGCAAGAAGCGAAACAAACTTGGCAAATGTAATCTTACCTCGGTTAGCGAAACCTGCAGGCAGATTTTATCTGTTTATAGGGATTGTTATAAAAGGCTGGATAACAGCCTTGACTGTTTCTTTGGTTGTCAGCTGAACTTTAATCACATCCAGTTTGAGATGAGGAACTGCTGAGCATAGTGTGTTACACACAAACACACACACACACGCACGCACACTGCACAAAATTGACAATCATAGAAGAGGTGTTGAAACTCTTACAAACACGTGGTCTGTGGGCTGTGATTCACTGCAAGAAAAGAGGGCTAGAAATGCATTATTTCTCATCCTTTTACAAGGCTATGGGGTATGTGATTTGTTCTTGGACAAGTACTTTCAGCTTTCTGAGTCTCAGTTTCCTCATCTAGATGATGGGGCTAAAAGTGCCCATTGCAGAGGGCTGAGGTGAAGGCTGAGAGAAAATGTAAAATACATGTCTTTCCACACTGGACGGTTGTTGTTATTTTCTCTCCAGTTGTGTTTATACCACATGTTTTCTTTGAAGCCAGAGTTGTCTTTTCTCCATAAAAAAGCAATTCTTATTAGCCAGCATATCCTAGTGGCTGTAAAGCCCAACCTGCTTTTGGTCTCAGTGATTGAAATGGTTTGAGATGTCAAACTTGGATTTTCTTATCTTTTCAATACAGTTTCTTGAGGAAAAAGGACAGTAGTTGTTTTTCTTGTAAATCAAAAGTGCTAATAGAACAACCTTCTCTGGGTTTGCAGATTTTTGTGCAGGACCCACACAAGTTCCGTCCCATATACCAGGCTCTCTAGCATGATTAAGATCATGGTTGCTGGAGACAGACTGGTTTGAATACAATGTCCTCCACTTGGAGCCTTGTCACTTGGGGCAAGATACCTAACCTCTGTTTGCCTCTTTTTCCTTGTGTGTAAAATGTCAGTAAATGATATTCCTTACATCACACAGTGTGGGGGTCACTGAGTCAGTATATATCAAAGCATCTATGCCTGCCATGGACTGATATTCAGCAAATGTTAGCTTCTACTCTGCCATGGAGGCTGATGTTTTTTTGTTTTTTTGTTTTTTGTTTTTTTCTTGGATGGGCCTTCCATTCTAGCAATGGGCAGTTCCAGCCAGCTCACTACTTTTCTGGTCTTCTTCTTTCTGGTTCCGGACTGTTCCATTTATCTATTGCTGCATTAAACAAAACAAAACAAACAAACAAAAAAACAGCCCAAAATTGTGGCGGCAAACAAAAACCATTTTGTTGGGCTGGGCTACAGATTCTGTAGGTCAGGAATCTGGACAGGACGTAGCTGGGATGGCCTATGTTTTCTCTGCTCTGTGATGTCTGGGGTCTCAGCTGGGAAGAGTCCAGGGACCGGTGGTGATTCAATGGCCGAGGGCTAGGATCACTTGGAGTCTCCTTTGCTCACAAGTCTGGCGCCTGGGCTGTGTGACTCAAAAAGCTTGGCTCAGCTGGGACGACCATTAACCAAAGTGCCCACACATGGCCTTTCCACGTGGCTTGGGTTTCTCCCAGCATGGTGGCTTGTTTCTGAGAAGGAGCAACCCCAGAGCAAATGTTCAGGAAAAAAAAAAAAAAAAAAAACAAACCCAGACAGAAACAGCATGGCTCTTTGTGACCTGGCCTCAGAAGTCAGAAAGTGTTACTTCTGCTACTCGGCTGATCTAGCAATCCCAGGTTTTCTCTGATTCCAGGGAAGGGGGCATGGATGCCACTCTGGATGCAGGTGCCAAGGATCTGAGGTCTTGTTTTCTTTTTTAAAACTTTCCTCCTATAAGTTTGGCTCTGTTTGG